TGTTCAGATTTATTATTAACTCATTTTTTATTTTTTTTTGAGTTTCCTCCCTTTCTATTGCAAAGACCCCATATATGGCTGTATAATTATTATTTATTAAAAACTATATTTATTCATTGTCATCAATAATATTATTATTATTTATATTACTATTAATATTACTATCATTATAAATACTATCAATATTATTATTAATATTAATGAGATTATTACTAGAATCTTCATTTTCAGTAATTTATTATCTAATTTATTAATAGTCAAAAATTTTATAGGTCTTAAATAATCCTATAATCATTTCATCTGAGATTTTTTTTAAGTAGTTTAATTTATCTATAAATATCAGATAACCTAACATAAAGAATTTCTTGATATAGTCATTTTTGCATCACCTTCTACCATTCAAATATGTTATTTCTTATAAAGATTAACTTTAAATAGCTTATTAATAGTTATATCAAGTAATTGACATATATTAGATAAACTATTTAGAATAATTATCAAATCAATATTAATATTATAAAACTTAATTTTAATTGATTCTTCAAGATATTTTCTGAAAAAATCATATGAAAGATTTACTAGGAAAAAGGTATTCTGAAATTAATTTTTATTTTTGTATAATATGATAAACAAAATTTGAACTTTAATACTAAGATGATCTATTTTTATAATTTTAAATCATGTAATTTATATCATGTCTTTAAAATTATATTATATAATATAATATATAATATTAAATTATATTGATCATTTTCTAAATAGTATATTAATCATATTTATTATTTCCAAATTCTATTTTTATATTTTTATGTAAAAAATTTAATTACTATTTATTCATTTTAATATTAAGTTAAAGTACTTTAAAAATTTAACCAGTTAAAGTTATTATAGTATAAATTAATATAAAGCAAAATTTTCAATTTTAGTAAAAAGGTCTTAGAACCTTTTTTTTCTAATAAACCTCCTATATATTATTATTAAAGTATTATTAATTCTTAAATTACTATTAATAAAATCTATATATTTATTCATTAAAATAACATTTATCCATCTATTTTATTAAAGTTAATTAATAATATCAGATAGAATCTATTCAATATATAATAGCTATTTTTTTTAAAAATACGAATAATTAAAAATTTTTTTTTATTTACAAGATAAAAAATTAGATAAATAAAAAAGTTAAAAAGAATCAAACAATCCATATCTACAATATATGTTAAAATAACTATAAATTAGTTTTTATTATTGTTCAGTTTTGTAAATATAAATTATTTTTTACCTATTTAATTAATAATAAAGTTTTCTACTATATTAAACTAAAACAGAAAATTATATATATTAAGAATATTAGATAACTCAAATATTTTTTCAGTCTTAAGGTGGATGATAAACTGATAAAAGTTTTTTAATAATTCATTAGTTTATAATAGAAGCTTTTGTAAAATTTTAGTACATTAGCATCAAAAAAGATTATATCTTTTCATAAATATGAATATCTAATAGTGTGATATTTTAAATTTATTTATTAAATCTTTATAAAGATTTATTATAGCAGATTCTTTTAAAATATTTAGCATTTTAATTTACAATTATATATAAAATACCTAATCACTGCTTTTTTTGTTCAATAATTTAATTATATAATTTTTTTAATTTTTAGATAAAAATATTTTGATCAGATTTAACTCGTTTACAATTTATTTATTTATTTTTCTTTTGATTTAACCTATTAATTAATTATACCTTTATCAAATTCAAAAGAATTTACCACTTTAATTATTTTATTTATTTAGTATAAGTGATAACTTATCTCTTTTACTTAATGGTATATAAATTGTAACATTATTTAACTATTTTTATAAATAATACTTAAAGATTTTTGTTTTTTAAGGTGACATTTATGTAAATTTTTAAAATTAGTTATCAATGAGCTTATAATTTATCATTATTACGTATAATTAAATTTAATTATAATATTTATGTTATATTTTACAAGTAATTTTGATGATATTTAATAATTAATTATATAGCTTTTTTGTAAATAAATTATTATTCTTAAATCATAACTGAATAAATCAAAATTCTTTTTCAATTTAGATAAATTTTTTATTTAAAAGTACTTAAAATTAAATGACTTTATAATAAAAAATAGTTTTTTAATTTTAAAATAATACAGCATGCTGAAATTCTTTAATTCTATAGTAAATTTAAATTTAAATTATTTTTATATTATATTTTTATATAAAGATAATTTCTATATTAAATAGATTATAATTTTAAATAAAAATTTGATTAGTTTTATTTTAATTAATTAGAATTTTAATTATACTTATTATAATATAATAATAATAAATTACTTAGTTAATTTTTCAATAATAATGACTATTTTTAGTTTATATAATTAAATATTCATTTAATTATAATCTGTTTTATATTATAAATAAATTTATTAATAAAATTTTAAAATATATTAATTATTTTTTGATAAGAAATTTAATATATTTAATTAATTAAATATTATATGATAAGCAAAAATTTATTATATTACAAGTTTATTATATCAAAAATTAATTATATTATTTTTTAAAAAACTTTAATTTGTATTATTAAAAATATAAAATTTTAAAAAAATTTACTTTAAATAAATTATTTAAAAAATTAGTTTTATTATAAAATATTATTTATTTAATAAATATTAATTTACAATTTATAAAATTTTAAATTTGTATAGTAATAAATCTGATAAATATTATTATTTAAATATTAAAAGTAATTTATTTTAATTAAAATAATCAAATTATTTATTTAAAATAAATATAATTTATAAATTAATATTATAAGAAAGTATGTTAATATTCAATAAATATTTAATATTTTATTTATATATATTATCTTTATAATATATAATAAAAAATAAAATTTTAATTTTTTATAAGATTATTATTTATTATATTAATTAATTAATTAATTATTATTATTATTATTATAAAACTTTATAATAGAAAGAAAAAAACATAAAAAATAATTTTTAAATTAATATTATATTTTGTATATAAAATAAAATTTATTTTCTTTTTTTTATAATTTTCTTTTTTTATTATTAAAATTTTATTTAATAATATATTTATATTAATAGTTATATAAAAAAAATTAAATTTAAATATTATTAATTATATATAAAAAAAAATGAATTTTAATTTATAAAGAAAATATTTTTATAAGTTTTTTTTTTTAATTTTATTTATAAAATTTCATAAATTTTATTATAAATTTTTTTTTAATAATATATTCAAAATTTGATTTATTTAATAAATAAAATTTTAAATAAATTTTTTTTGTAAAATAACTAAATAAATAAGATTATATAAATTGTATAAAATTAATTTATTTATAAATTTTATCTTAAATAATATTTTATAAATATATAAATATTAATTAAATATAAAGTTATAAATTTATATAAGTAATATAAGTTATATTTATAATATTTTTTATTTAAAAGTATTATTAATAAGTAATATTATTATTTAATTTATAATATTAATAATTTTAATTTATTAATAAAATAACATTTTATTAAATGAATAATATTAATAAAATAAATATGATTACTTATTTATAGTATATAATTATTTACTTTATAAGCACTTTTTATTATTAGAATGTATTAAATTATAAATTTTATATATATTAAATAAGTAATATGAATTAACATAATCTTTTAATATAAATTATAAAATTCTAGAAATTTATATATAAATTTAATATAAATTTTATAAATTTATAATAAATATAATTCTTTTTTTTGCATAATTTACTGTATTTCTCTGAAAATAAGCATCGCATGATATATATGAATTTATTAGTATATACGTGACAAATAATATAATAAATTCCATGTGACAAATAAATAAATTACTATAAAAGAAGCATGTCACAGGATGCTTATTTTTGGGAATATACAGTATTATTTAAATTTTTTATATAATAAATACTACTTTTATAATTATTGTATTAATTATAAATATTAATATACTATTTATTAATTCTATATTATAATTAATATATTAAAATTTTCTTATTAATAATCATTATATTATATAAAAAATTGTTAGAAACATTAAATTCTAAAAATATTATAATAAATTAAAATTTTATTATACTCTATTTTTTAAAATAAATCTTAATTCTAGTTAAAAATTTTCAATTCTAGTTTTTTAAAATATCAGTTTTATGTAATATTATTATATAATTAGGTTTAAAATAGTATAGTATAATTTTGTAAAAATATCATTAAGAATTAAAATATATAAATTATTTTTAAAAATATTTTAATATATTTTATACTTATATTGCTATTTTATTATTAATACTATAATTATTATTATTATTATATATACTGTATATTTTTTATTTCTATATCAGTTATAAATTCGATAAATTTAATATTTAAATTAAAAGAATTTTATTATATATAAATTATTACTAAATTTAGTTGAATCTTTTATGATTTGCAGCAACATTATCTACTGCAGGTGGTAAATCGCTCAAATATTCGTATTAAAGGGAAATGCGACTTGATAATTAACACGAAGTTGCAGGAAAGAAAGTAAGGTAATTAATTCTGATTTGATGAATTGAAAGGATTACGTTAGTTAAGCTTTTAAGATTTTAAAGTATAAATTTTAGAATTTTTGATGACGTCATATGTGCTTCATAAATCAATTTTTTGATTTAATCCTACGCGTATAAAATTTTTTAATTTTTAAGTTAGATTTTGTCTTCGCGTTTTAAAATTTTACTCGTTACTGTCATCCAAGATGCCACGCGAATTAATAACGATACAAGCCGGACAATGCGGAAACCAGAGTAGGTTCAATTTATCCACTTGACATTATACTTTTTAAGTATAACCACATAATTTCAAAATCTAGTTGGTATGGAGTTTTGGTCTCAACTCTGTGCCGAACATGGAATTAGTAAAGAAGGTATACTAGAAGATTTTGCAACCGAAGGTGGTGATCGAAAAGATGTGTTTTTTTATCAGGTAATTAAAAACTTGTAACCATTATCTCAAAAACTCGAATATTTATATTTATTGATTTTTGCAATTTTAGGCCGATGACGAGCATTACATTCCAAGAGCTTTACTATTAGATTTAGAACCAAGGGTAGTTATCCAACTTCCCTTAGGGTTTTTACTTGGTGACCGTTACTTTATTTAATTTGATATTTCAATTAGGTTATCAACAACATCTTGACCTCACCATATGCAAATCTTTACAACCCCGAGAATATTTATTTGTCCAAAGATGGCGGTGGAGCTGGCAATATTTGGGCTTATGGATTTTCTCAGGCTAAGAACGTTTGCGAAGATATATTTGAAATGATTGACCGTGAAGCTGATGGAAGCGATTCTCTCGAGGTATCAAATATTATTCATAGGGATCTAATATTAATAACATTTAATAATTCCTTTAAATTTCAGGGATTTATGCTTCTTCATTCGATTGCAGGAGGGACAGGTTCTGGAATGGGATCTTTCCTCTTGGAAATGCTTAATGATAGATATCCTAAGAAACTAATAACAACATATTCGGTATTTCCCAATAATGAGGAAGTTTCAGATGTTGTTGTTCAACCCTATAATAGCATTTTAACTTTGAGAAGATTAACGGATTATGCTGACTGTGTGGTGATTATTCTGTTTACAACATCTATTTAGTTCGTCTTTGTTTTTAGAATAATTCAAATAATGATGTTATTCCATTTTTCTTTAGACTGTACTGGATAATGCAGCATTGAATCGTATAGCATGTGACAGACTGCATATTCAAAACCCTACATTCACCCAAACAAATCAATTGGTTTTGCTTTCATTGCTCTATCTATTCAATATTATATTTAAAATATGAACCTAAATGATAATTTCATTTATTTAGGTGTCAACTGTGATGTCTGCAAGCACTACTACACTCCGTTATCCTGGATATATGAATAATGATCTTGTTGGAATGATTGCTTCACTTATTCCCACACCGAAATGTCATTACCTAATGACAGCATATACTCCTTTTACAAGTGATCAAGTCGAAAAGGTCGAGTACAATCCACTGTAGAAAATTTATTCTGTTTATATACAAAATTGAATGGCGTTTCTTTTTTTTAAAAAAAAAATAAATCATATAGGCAAAATCTGTACGTAAAACTACGGTTCTCGATGTGATGAGAAGATTACTACAACCAAAGAATAAAATGGTATCAACAAATCCATCAAAAAAAAGTTGTTACATTTCAGTCTTGAATATAATTCAGGGAGAAGCTGACCCTACGGACGTGAGTTTTTTTGCATACTTATAAGACTATTAATAGGTATTAATCATGGAATTTAATATAATGTATGACTTTTGTGATAGGTCCATAAATCATTGTTAAGAATACGGGAACGTCGCTTAGCACAATTTATTCCTTGGGGACCAGCTAGTATTCAAGTAGCGTTGACCAAAAAATCTCCATACATTCAAACATCCCATCGCGTAAGCGGTTTAATGTTAGCAAATCATACAAGCATGGCTTCGGTGAGTTACTTATTTATATTTCAAATTCCTTGACAAAATATTAACATATTTTTATATTATTCCAGCTTTTGAAGCGTACTTGTGATCAATTTGATCGTATCAGAAAACGTAAAGCTTTCTTGGAACAATATAAGAAAGACGATCAATTTTCTGATAATCTTGAAGAATTCGACGTTTCTAGGTATTTTTCATCGAGATTTAATGATAATATAAAAATTCTTATTAATTATGATTTAATGGCATTATAGAGGGGTAGTACAAGATCTTATTAATGAATATGAGGCATGCGAAAGTGTTGATTACATCCAATATGTAGGGTTTTATTCAGTTTGATTTTGATTTGATTTTGACTTTTATTGTTTTGTCATGAACTATGAACTTAATTTCTTATTAATTACAGGGAACTTCCAAAGATTAAATATTGTAAAGAGTGTTTATTAAAATAATTTAATGAACAATTTGTATATTTTTTTTTTTTGCATTAAAATGATTTCAAAATTGCGTAATTTGTTATCAAAATTCAAAGCTTTTGTACATTATTTTGGGGTAATTCGATTACTAATTTACCGAATTGTTTGCCCTTACTAAAAGAATATATAATTAAGGATTGGTAAAACATATTATTTAAAATATTAACCTTTTGAAAATTTTATTTTAAAAAAAAAAAATTAGCTTACTTCATGATTTCAAAAATTTCTGGAGTATGTTCGAATCCTTGCCAAACGCCGCTAATCATAGGCCTAATTTTTTTTTCCTCAACAAAATTTAACATTTTCTCAAATTCTTCCCTGCTGCCCATAGTGGAGCCTTTAAGTTCAATATTTTTGAGCACTGCGCTCATTGGGAATTTTATAGCTGGAACCGATGTCATGCCATAACAACTTATAATACCTATATAAATCATATAATAAGTTATTTTTATTACGATAGAATCAATAAAAGGAAAGATAGAATAAGATTCTGAAATATATAAGGTCTGAAATTGCATATTCGTTTAAAGTAAATATGGGCAATTTTGAAAGTCATAATTAGGTCATGATAGAATGCTTGTAACATGGATGGATATTTTAATGTACCTCCTGGACGTAAAAGTTTCACAGTTTGAGAGGCAATTTCACCTCCTGCACCGTCAATCACGGAATCCAAGAATGGACGATCATTAGGCAAAAGAGTTTTTAGCAACGTTGGCCATTCCTCTGAAATGAAAGTTAAATTTATATTAAGTGGAATCGATTTTATAAAAAATAGCATCAGGATAGAAGAGAAAATACCTTCTCTGTAGTTAACACCTCCTTTCGCACCTAATTGCTCGATAGCTTTTTTAATCTTGGACTCATCTGAAGATGTGACATACGCATTTGCACCTATCCTTGAGACAAAGTTCAACACCGTCAAAGCAACGCCACCCCCAATTCCCGTGATCAGTACGTTTTCTCCTGGTTGAACATTGGCTTTTACAAAGGTTGCTCTACATGAAAAATAAATAAATAAATAAATAAAAAATAATAATGAATAAAATGAACGGAATTTGAATTTAATTAAAAATTGCCTGAATGCGGTTAAACCAGCCAATGGAAGAGCGGCAGCTTCCGCCGAGGATAGATGTTTAGGAACAGGAAATATTTCGGCACGAGGAACAACGGTGTAATCAGCAAAGGTTCCTTTGAAAGCAATATTTATATGATTGGATTAAATTCGGAAAAAAAATCGACTAGTCAGAATAAATAACTCGAATTGAAATTTTTCTACCAGGTAAAGGTAATAATCCAAGTATCGCATATTTACTTTCAGGACCTTTTGGATCCTTTTCCCAACCAAATCCTGGATTAATAACAACTTTTTGACCAACAAGGTGAGAAAATTCATTACGTGACGTTGCTTGTACTATTCCAACACCATCACTCCCAAGTATAGAATTAAATTTTATTCCTGGATATAATCCTTTTCTTATCCAAACCTCACTTATCGAATTTAAAAAGATAAAAAAGAATGATACATTTGATTAAAATAACCCGAATTCCAAATTTTTTTTTATATCATGATAATTTAATTCTCACCGATGATTAAAAGATACCGCTTGTAATTTTATTAAAACTTCATCATTATTAGGATTCAAAGTGGGAACGGGAACTTCCCTAAGAATCACATCATGATACATAGACTCATCATTTTTAACACCTTTTTGTAAAACGAGAGCTTTCATATTTTTCAAATTTTTTTTTTTTTTGTTTGTTTTAAAGAGAATCAATCACGTATCAAATTCGAAATGAGGTTTTTTTTGGTTCGGAGAATTTTTTAAGTTTTTTTTTGTCGATCATACTCAAATTAGGTACTACTTCATTTAGTAAAAACAAATTTACATAAAAGATTTTCCGAAACGTTTTTTTTTTTTTTTCTTTTTTTTTAAAGCGAGTCTTTCGAATTTTTTTTTATTATGTCACTGATGCAATGTATATGGGCGCTTCGCAATATAGGGAACAACGAAAAAAAAAAAAAATTTTTTTTGAATTAATGCTAAATCTGGACTCAACAAAATTTATACAAGGTGAATTTTTTGTTTTAATTTTTTTTTAATCCCATTTCATCTGCAATATATTCGGGTGTTTCGTATTAAATGTGGCGCATTAGTCTGAAAATTTTTTTTCAACCTTTAATTATATTTTATTTTATTTTTTTTGCGGCATACATTTGTGCATATTTCCTTCGGTAATTACCCCAAAAAGTAAATTCCTTTATTTGCTTGACCAAAAACGATTACCTCCCGAACTTTTTTTTTCAAACGGGTATCGCCGTTCTTTTGTGTATCAAGAAAGGTCTTATAATCCGACAGTTTTCTTTTTCTCGTTCTACTTTGGTTAATATGTTATAGTTTAATCATGCATAAACCATGCAATTGGCCGCTTTATTATAGATTTGGCAGAATAATGCTTGTGCAGGAGGTTGAAAAAAAAAAAAAATTTCTTAATTTTCTATTTATTATTATATTACAAAAGAGCCCATAATAAAAGGTAAAATTAAAAAAAAATCAAAAGGAAAGCAATGAAATCAAAAATCTATATGTAATCTATAATTAGGGAGGAGTTCAATGCCTTACTTTCCTTTTGACGTCTTGTTAACTACATATATATGAAGGAGTGGGAGGGTAACACTAAATAAATGGTGGCGTTAACATAATTCTATAAATTATTAATTTAAATTAAAATTTATATATTTAAGAAAATTTCTTATCAGTTATTTATCAGTTACATAATAATTTTAAACTTAAAAATAATTTTCTAGATAACAAATTTTGTATTCTAGTTGTTAAAATATTATACAATGAAAACGAATCGAATGAGGGGGAAAAAAAACAAAAAGGAAAAAAGAAAAGTTTTTTTTTTAACAAAAAAAAAACCAATGTTCCCAATTAAATATAAAATATTTGAAATTTTTCTTCTTTTTTTCTTTTTTTTTTTTTTTTTAAAAAAAAAAAAATCGAATGCTAGTCATAAAAAAAATCTAAAAGTAAAGATTGTGTATCGCGAAATTTTAATTTCGTTGTACGCCACCACCTCGAACATAACTTTCGTCATGACGCGTTAAATGCATACTGGTACTTTCATGATTATAGTCGTGGGACGATTGACTTAACGGTTGTCCGTACCCATGACTACTACTAACTTGAGAACTCCCTTGAACATATCCACTCTGTCCGTGGGTATGTCCGTTATTTGTTAACTGTGTATTTTGCTGAGAATACCAATCGACAGGTCTTGCAGCCGATGATTCGAATTCGTATTTCACCTGAACTGGATTGTGATCAGATTGACGATGTATTTGATGCTGCGAAGGTGCTTGTTGTTGCTGGCGGTGATGAGGTTCTTGAAAATTTTGTATTGAAGGCTGATGATGATAATAAGGAGGGTGGTAAGATTGTTCTGTTGTAACTTGTCTGACAGATGGTCCTGCTGACACATCGGTCGGGACAGAAGCGTACGGCGGACGAGGTTGAGCTCTATAAGATGGTACCTGTTGACCTGCAACGGTAAGTGGCGGTAACAAAGTCGGTGGATGTTGGTGTTGTTGTTGTTGATGTTGATGTTGTTCTGAATGATCATGCATATATTGCATGTGTTGCAAATGTTGCTGTTCGTTTTTTTTTTATTTAAATTTTTTTAAAAAAAAAGCAGGGAATATCAGGTTCGTTAGCTACCCACCAAATTTTACGAAAAAAAACATGCGACATTATTGTGTAATTTACCTGTTGTTCATGCAATGTCATAGGATCCACTATTATTTTATGGTCAACAGGCATACTAGGCGACTACATTGAAAGGAAATTGTATAGCACGTGTTAAATCAGGATGCTTTATATTTGCGATCATCGATGCAAGATTAATTTTGTCGATCACACTCACAGACAAATTTTTAAGGGAAAAAAAACATAGGGAATCTTACAGGATTGAATTGATGTCCACTCTGAGGCATTCCCAATCCATAAGGATATTGACTTTGATCTTGATAATCCATCTATAAAAAATATCAATCCAAGAATTATGAACTGATCCAAGGTAATGTTTCACCAGGTTCACAAACACAAACCTTGTCGTTTTTGACAGAAACCTTCTCTTCTCTTGGGACAATGTCTATTAAAAAGTCAAACATATCAACTTTTTTTATTGCGTTTGCGATATCAGATCTTTGTAAAGTTCTTCGCTTGCATTCTTCAGCATGATGCCTATTAATTATATATATCAATTAGTAAAAGATGAAGTTACTTTTCAATGTAAAAATATTTGAGACTCAAAATTACCACGCTCGCATTGTTAATTCTGTTATAAATATATCGCAACCTTTTGCAAAAAGAATGGGTGCCTAGAACACATGAGGAAAAAAAAAAAAAAATTAACAAACTAGGTATTGCAAGTTAAAAATTCATTGCAAAGTTATTAATTACCTCGGCGCTTATCATCTTTTTTCATCGTAAAGTGTCAATAAATTATCCGGGAGATGAAATCATAGAAATTAAAAAAATGGGTTAGAATATTCATGGCAAAAGGAAGAGAAAGGAAAAGCATCACGCGTACAAGGGTTTTAGTTATGATCCGGTGTAACCATTATATCGGATCTTCCTCAAATATTTTGATCAATTCAATTTCTCCTTGAAAAAATAAACAAAGAAGTTCTTCTACCTTCACTTCTTCATCAGTCTTCATGACTTTCTTTATCCTAGCTAATGGAAGTTGGTGAACCTTGAAATCGTGAACGCCATGTCTGATTTCATTTATTTGCTGTTGCCAGAAGTTATCAAGAACGGTATAATGTTGAGGTTGAAATTGATGTTGAGAGTGCATTGGAGTGGGAGCAGCAGCAAGAGCAACTTGAGTTTGCGGATCTATTAAGAGATGTGGAACACCTGGTCCACTTACAAGTTGTTGTTGTGCTACTCTTTGTTGCTGGTTTAAGTGGTGGTGTATGTGCGCGTTAGGATCTGCCATAATTATTTTTCCTTAACTTTTTGGAAAAAAAAAAAAAAAAATCTTACAGGTACGTTACTTAAGGGGTAGAAAATTAACAAGGTCCAAGGTTTTTATATGCGTATTTAAAATTTTTACCTAAAAAAAAAAAAATTTTTTTCGGTCTATCGCGCACTGACTAATGTACTACACCAGAAATTTATGATGCGGTTTAACTTTAAATGGATTAAATGTGATTTGATAAGGCGTGGTGGCTAATTAGATTTAAATTTAGTTTATATCTCAAACCACCCCCAAAAAAATTTCATTCAACAGGGGTTTCACACAAAAAAGTAGGATGTCAAGATAAATGGCCGAAGGACCTTTTTTAACGATGACAACCAATCCGATGCCTTACTTTATCTTATTTTATCCAACTCCAATTGGGGAGATTGTCGCATTATAACCCAAAAATCGACTGTTGTGCCTTTTGTGTTTTGTTTGTTATGTCGGTAATCTGTTGTAATTGTATTAATCTTATATTTTTCCGATTTTTTTTAGAAAAAAATTGTAATTCATAAGACAGAAATATACCGTATAATAAGAAAACTCTCACGGTTCGTTCCAGTTTATCAGCAAGGTTTGTTTTTTTTTTTGTTTTTTGTTTTTTTTTATGATTTTTTTTTTGTTATTTTATTTTTTTTTTTTAAAAAAAAAATAAAAATAAAAATAAATAAATAAAACTACTCGAGGAGTTTTTATAATAAAAAAAACAGGTTCCAAGATGCAGAAAAGGTGAAAGACAATATATATTGTTAAATAATTGGCCAAACGTTTTATCTAATATGGTACCGCAGATTATTAGGGAACGTAAGTTTGGAAATTAATCATGTGCGCTATTGTATTGGTTCATCATGGATTTTTTTTATAGTTTTTTTGCTTTTTTAATTCCTATCCCCCTTCATAAATATCGATCATTCTAATATTCATAAATTATTGTGTAATATTTATTTTTAATCGAAACATAATTGCAGATTTTATATTTATGTATGATCTGAAAGAATGAAAGAACCCTATTCTGGGATTTTCAGGCAAAAAAAAATTTTTTTTTTTTCACGGATTTCTATTCGTTCACTAATCCTTCGCGTTTAATCCGACTAGAATCCGAAACTTTAAAAAAAAAAAGGTTGAGTCTCAGTTCCAAGCAAAAATAAATCGGGATTGGCCGATAATTGTTGGACTGATTTGGCTATACGGCTAATCGATGGTGATGTGATCTTTACTGTAAACAAAGAAATCCTTTTTTTATTTTCTTTCACTAATAATAATAATTATTATTATTGTCATTATTGTTATTTATTATTATTATTATTATATTATTATTATTATTATTATTACTTTGTCGGTAAAATGCATCGAGAAGATCAAACACTTTTAATGTATTATATGCAAATGGAAAAAAATTTCCAACCCCTCATTCACTTTTAACAAATTACATAAGGTATGCAGAAGAGAAATTCATGATTATTTCGAGGTGAAAGATTTGCAACAGAAAGATGTTCGCAAAATATGTTATGTGGAGTTACATCTATATTAGATAATTCTACGTATTAGCATGCAACCACCTGATGACCCTTACCCAATCAACATCCACCCATCGATGTTTATTTATTTGGTAATAGATAAATTGATCATTAGTCATCATTGAGGCATAAATCTGCACTTATATTTTGATTACAGCTACAAATTTTCTTTGTACACGTCTTAGTATTGCAATTAATATCTCTTTCCTAGATCGAAAAAGTTTTTGATTACCATTTCTAAAAAGAGATTATCATTCATGTTGGTAATTAAAATACGGTATAACGCGAATTCATGTTAGAGTGAAACTCAACACAAAAAATTCAAGCAATTAAAAATTTCAGAAAGAACGGAATATTAAAAAAGGAATTGTTGGTTCACACGGTCATTTTGTAAGGATCATCCACACCTCGTAATTCAATCAAATTCATTAAAAAAAAAAAATCATCACTTTTTAAAAACATTATCATATGAATAAATTTCGGAAAACTGTTCGACTTCATTATATTCATAATATTTAAAATAAATTAACTCGAATCATGATCAATCATTGATTTCATTCGTTCCAGGGTAAATTAAATCAATAAGGTTAGTTTAGATACATCCGTATCAGAATAATAGAATGGATCAACAAAAAAACATTAATAGAATGAATCTAAATACTCCGATCACCAAGATTCTATAACACGATTTTCAATCTTAACCAGGGTTCAACCTATTAAATAAGTGAGAGAATAATCATAACATTTCATAATCAATAAAACTTCAAACTTTTTTATTTCCGATCCTTCAATGAAATCAATAATAATGTATTTAATTTATATGGATAAGGTTAGAATCATATTATTTTTTGATTGGAGGTTGTGGAACTTTGCATCATTTGAAATTTTATTTTTTTATTAAAAATTTCTTGTTTATTGACTCTTGGAAGCAAGTTTTTCCACGCGTTGCTTTTGATGTATGATGATGTATAACAATTTACGCCATGTGTATCATGCAACCAAATATGCATGCATATACATGTATATATATTTCACATTGTAGAATTCATAACAAAAAGTTAGCTTAGAAATCTTATTTGTCATTTTTAATAATTTTGTATATTCTGGGAATTCAAATTTTAATTGGGTAAACAAGTTACATGAAAATGAGTATTAGTTTACTATAAAAAAAAAAATATTTTATATGTTTAAGTAAAAAAAAAAAGGATAAATTTTACTTGCCACTTAATTATGTTATCGTATAACTAAAAATAAAAAAAAAAACATCTCACCCTCGATTTTTTCGCATGGATTCAAACGCCGAGTCTTTGTTATTACTTGAACGACATTAGAAGGCAACTGTGGCGTGACTTTGATTGGTTTCGAGGATTAGTTGTTTTCTTTTTCTTGGTTTTTTCCTTATTAAGGATTCTGTTAAATCTTTATCAATAAATAATAAATATATGTATACATTTCTTTATCATCGCGATTAATTCAAGAGAAATAAACGACCGGGTAAAGAAATTTTGTGAAACATACAAGTCTGCCGTTATACATTTTTTAATAAAATACTTCAAAAATTATTTTTATATTTACAACAATCCGAACCTATTATCATAATACTTGTCATTAATGCTTCTTCGAATAATGCTTATTTTTAGAATTACTTTAATTTATTTATCTTATTATTATCATCATGATTAAATTGTAAGATTTATAATTAAACTTAAAAAGTATTTTACTTTTTTTTAAAAAATTAGAAATTTTAATAATAATTTATATTTATTATAAAGCTAAATCTTAAAAAAAAGTATTTTTATAATTTTTATAATAATAGTAATTAAATATATGATTTATGAAGAAATTTATTTTAATGGAATATATTATAAATTATTAAAAATTAAAAATTATTTTATAATATAATAATAATAAGATAAATCTATAATATGATTTTTTAAAAAAAATAAAATTATAAAATATTAAATAATAAAATATTAGTTAACAAAATATATTTTCTTTTTAATATACATATATTTTTATTTACAAAAATAAATTTAATTTAATTTAATATATTCTTTATTCTTATTTATATATTAATCTATTCAATAAGAAGTAATGTTATTAATTATAATTAATTTTTATTATTTAAATATTTTAATATTAAATTATAATATTAACTTAAATTTATGACTAATTTAATATTAATCAAATTTTTTTTAATTTTAAATAAATATTATATATAAATAATCAATAATATATATAAAACAATAATATTTAATTTTATATATTATTTTTTATAAGTTTTTTTAAATCAATAAAATACATTTAAAATAAAAAAATTTTTTAATTTAAAATTATAATTATTATATATTATTAATATTGAAATTTTTTTGTAAATACAAGATGTATAAATATCATATGATATATACAATCATTTCTTTTTATAGTCACATTTCTTAAAATTAAAAATAAAAAGTAGAATTATAATAAAAGTAACTATATAAGCATATTTTTAAATATTGTTACAAAACATTGATTTTGAAAAAAAAGTGACTATAAAAATACTGTAATTATAAAGAAGTTTTTTTATATAATATTAATAAGTATTAGTTCTTATAAAATGTGTGCTTATAATGAGAAATTTATATAATATGATTATACAGGAAGTGACTATAGAAGAGGATAACTATATAAATTTATTATATAGAATTATATTTAGTTTAAAATTAATTAAGTATTAATATTATTATTTATCAAACTATATCATATTTTATTATTTTTTATTTTTACTAATTAATCTAATTAATCTGAAAAGTTAAAAAATTTTATACTAAAAATATTATTTATTACCCTTTATATTTTATATTGTATTTAAATACACTGTATATAATTAGAAATTGTATTTAATTTATATAATTATAGATGATTATTATTATGTAATATCTTAAATTAATATAATTTATAATTAAAAAAATGTGATTATAATAAAAAATATCTATATAAAAGACATTTTATATAATGTTACTAAATATTAGTTTTGAAAGTATGTAACTATAAAAAATAGTGTAATTATAAAGGAATTTTTATATAACATTAATAGGTATTAGTTCTTATAAAATATATACTTAAAATGAAAATTTTATATAATATAATTATATAGAAAATGACTATAGAGAGAGACAATTATATTACTTTTAAAAATTAAACTGATATAATCTAACTATAATTTATAAGTATTATATAATATCTTAGATTATATAGTATAATAATATAATTTCTATAGATTATATGAGTATACTAATATTTTTTTGACTAAATTTAGATAAAAAGCAATTTATTGTAACTGAAATCTTAGATTTAATAGAAACTAATAACAATATTATAGATAAAGCTCTGAACAGTTCAGATTAATCTGAAGATTTTTTGGATCAGTTCAGTTCAGATTAGTTTCAAATTAGAGTTTCAAATGAGTCGAGTCGAGTCGAGTCGAGTTTAAAGATCAACTTTATTCAACTCTTGTTTTTCGAGTTGAGTCGAGTCAAATTTATTTTATAAAATCTTTTAATTTAATTTGATTCGAGTTATATAAATTTTAAACTTAACTAAATTTGACTTGACTCAATTTTAACTTGATTCGATTTTAAATTGAATTTATTCAAATTGAGTCAAGTTCAAATCAAGTTATAAGTCAATTTTAAATTTTTATAAACATTTAAATATATCAGGAGAGCGAACAATTTGTTATCATTTTTCTTGAACGATTTTTTTTATCATTCAAGTCGAACGATTCGTCATCATTCTTCTTGAATAATTTTTTTTATCGTTTAAGTTAAACGATTTATCATTGTTCTTCTTAAATGATTTTTTTTATCATTCAAATCAAATGATTCGTCATCGTTCTTCTTGAACGATTTTTATCATTCAAGTCAAATGATTTGTCATCATTTTTCTTGAACGATTCATCATCATTCTTTTTGAATGATTTTTTTATCATTCAAGTTGAACAATTCATCATCGTTCAAGTCGAACGATTCAAGTCATCATTCTTCTTAAACAATTTTTTATCGTTCAAGTCAAATGATTTTTTATTGTTTTTCTTGAATGATTTTTTTTATCGTTTAAGTCAAACGATTTTTCATCGTTCTTCTTGAACAATTTCTTATTATTCTTCTTGAACGATTTTTTATCATTCTTCTTGAACAATTATTTTTCTATAGGACCGCAGTCCTAGAATCCAGTCCTAGGACCCAAATTCTATGAACTGGGAGTTTTGAGATCAGACTAAGACCAGACTGGATTTTAACATCCCTAAAAATAATACTATTTCAAGTCAACTCGAGTCAACTTGAATCAAGTCAAGTTTAAATCGAGTCGAGTTAAATATTTAACTCGACTTGTTTGGTTTGACTCACAAATTATCGAGTCAAAAAAACATAAACTCAACTTGATTTAAACTCGACTCAGCTTATCTGACTCGTGAGTTAACTTGACTCGTCTGGAACTCTATTTTAGATTGTATAAAAATTGATATGAAAATTTTCAGTTCAGTTTGGATTTTTTTCAGATTATAATTCTAATTTGAACTGAACTAATAATTTCAGATTAATCTGAAAGTTCAGTTCAATTATATGCAAAACTTTTGGAAAATTACAAAATTTGTGAATTCTCTAAGAGGATCGTAAAAATTTAGCGAAACTCTTAGAGAATCGCAATTTTTTGCAGTTTCTCTTCGAATTTCGCAAAAAATTACGAAAATCTTGAAAAATCGCAATTTTTTGCGATTTCTCTTAAAATGTTGAAAAACTCTTGAAAAATCGCAAAAAATTGCAATTTCTCTTTGAATTTCGCAAAAAAATCGCGAAACCCTTAGAGAATCGTAATTTTTGTGATTTCTCTTAGTATTTCGCAAAAATATTGCAAAATTCTTTGAAGAGTTGCAAAAATTGTGATTCTCCTAGAGTTTTGCATATAAATTGTGGATTCTTTATATAATTAAATTATAATTTTAGATTAATCTAAAAATTCCAGTTCAGTTTGGATTTTTACCAGTCTGCGATTCAGTTCAGATTCAAATTAGCATTTTTAAGATTAATAATTTAAACTGAATTGAACTGAAATTTTCAGTTCAAATATAGATTAGCATCTAATCTGAACTGAACTGAACTGAACTGTTCTAGTGTGTAAAATCTAAACCAAAAATTATGTATTAAACGTGCATATTTTTATGACATCATATGTATACAAAATAATTTTAATGTGCACAAATTTTTCTAATATCAAATTATAATATTTATTTATAAAAATCAAAAAAAAATTACAAAAAAAAATTAACTAGTAATTATAACTATTTTTGATTAAATCTAGAAACATCATTCCAAAAAGCATATGCTTTTTCATAATTATAATTTCTAAAATCTTTAGGATCATTTAAAGAAAGAAGTAAATGATGATTTAATGTCTGAATTGACATTTGTTACGCAAATTGGTCTTAATTAAATTTTGATGTGAAAATATACATTCAACAATACCATTTGATAATGGAATTATTAAAGCTAATTCAATAAGTTTTGTTAAATTAGGAAATTAATTATGAAAATTAATATTATTATCAAAAATACGATACCATACTTCAATAAATTGAAAATCTTTGTAATTACAAATAATATTACAAGCCATTTTCTATTCTCTAATTAGAATATTTCCACCTAATACAGCTTCATATATAGTATTACTTTCATTTTTTTTTAGCTTTTCTATAAAATTCTATAAAGTTTTGATTTCATTTTCTCTATAAGTATTTAATCTATCACAATTATTAGGAGCTTCACTTGGATCTAAAATTCTCATTGAATAATATAAAGTAGAATTTGAAAATCTAATTTTTAAACTTTTGATAATTGCTTAATGCAAATTGATTAATAGTAACTATAAAAGTATAAAATAAAAAAAAAGATAAATTATTATATTATATAATTATTTTTAAAATCAAAAATAAATTAACTTACCCGGTAAATCATCACTTGATAAATTATATTTATTAATATAATTAGCTAAATAAATATCATAATGTGGTAAAGAATTTTCACTTCCAATAAAATCTGATATTATAGATTCAATTGTCATTGATAATTGTTGACGAGTTTCAGCTAAAGATATATAATCTGAAAGAATAACAGCCAAAAATTTTGTAAAAATATAAAATTCTGTTATAAGTGCTTAATGTAAAAAATTAGCTATTGAATTTGTTTCTTTTTGTTGAATTAGTACCAAATGAATATTATCAATAATTTGATGAAAATTATTAATAACTATTGCTCAAGAAAGCCATTTTGTATCAATAATATTTAAAATTGCTAAATCAGAATTTTCACTACTTTCTTGTATTGATTTTAATTCATACATTCGTTTGTAAGAATTAGAAAAAAAAGTGTAAATAGATTTAACTATTTCCTTATAACTATTAAAATAAGAAACTTCTTTTGCAGCATCTTCAGCTGCTAGATACAACCGATGTGCAATACAATGATTCGAAGATAAGTAAAGATTTCTTTTTTTTAATAAAGCAGCTAATCCATTTCTAACTCCTATAAATAATTAATTACTAATTAATATATTATAAAATTATTAATTAATAAATTATTAATTAAATACAACCTGTTATATTTGACACCCTATCACTTCCTAAATGATATAATTTATTTGCAGGTAATCCTTTTTGTAAAATAAATGAATTAATTGCTTCAAGTAATGATTCTGCAAAAGTATCAGATACTGTAGTAATTTCTAAATAGCGTAAGGTTAGAATATTATTAACCATGTATTTTGAAACTAGAGCTAATGTTTTTTCGCCTTTTGATACTGTATTACTTTTATCTACTAATAAACTCTAACATAATGATGATTTTATTTTATTAATTACTGCTTCTTCGATTGGGCGGGTTAAAGATACTAATAATTCATATCCACTAACTTTATTTGTATATGTTGCATAATTAGATCTAGATGTTTTTTGTTGTTTAAACTGTGGTAAAGTTAGTGGTCGAAGTACTTATAAAGGAATATCACTAACCATAGAAGTAGGATGTTCTTTCAATAATTAACTAAATTAGCTAAATCAGGATAAATATTAATAGCAATATTTTGTGAAGTAAGAAAATGCATATTGCGCATTTGAGTAACTACACTGTCCATGCACATTTCTAACATTTGATTTACACCCTCTTTAATACCAGTTTGGCTTGGATTAAGAATTTGCAAAGAATTTTTATGTTCAACTGAATTTTCGTGTCTTTTAACAAATTCTAATTTCATAGTATCATATCCTGATATTACCCATAAACTATTACCTTTTGCTTTTTGGCAAATAGTATAAAACATAAAATTTTTATTATCAATAATTTGATGTTTTAACCAAAGTTGTCCTATTTGCCAAGATGATTTAAAAATTAAATTTTCTTTTTTTAAACGATCAGGATTTTGATTTTTTCTTTTTTGTTTTGGTATATTGTAATTTTTTTTATTGTTACCATGATTATGAGGACTATGTCTAGAAGGAGTGTATAATGAATTGGGTTGTGATGTAGATAGGGGAGTAGTATCAGTTAAGTCAACAGATGTGAAAAAATTTGTTATTTGTTGTGACATTTTTAATCAAAAACTTATTAAAATTACTAAAAAAAAATTATTTATTAAAATTAAAGTAAAAAAAAATGTGTGGGAAAAAATGTGAGAAAAAAAAGTGTTTCAAAAAATTCGGCAACTGTTCTGAATCTGAATTGACATAACCAGATCATTGATTTATTAAATTACTATTATAATCTCACCATTCTATTCAAGAAACTAAATAAAAATAAATAGTATTAAAGTTATTTCACAATACCATTATCACACCTACCATACTAACTAACTCAATTATATTTACTGTAAAGTTTATTTACTCAAGAAGTCCAGTATTCTACAAAAAGAAAGAATGTTAGAAATATTTCTTATTAACAACCACCTCCATTTACACACTCCTATTCACACACCTCCATTCACTCATTTACTTGTTCAGTTCGTCTTAGTTCAGTGTTTCTACAAAAGAAGTTTTTTGGCATCCTAAAGAAAAAAAGAAAAATATTATTATATTTCCTTTAACGAAATTGATACCAACTCTCTTCTACATACTTAAATCAGTTAATCCAGTTATCCAAACTTCAAAACTATAAAAGAGAATTTTGCATTATAAAAAAGTCCAGCATACAAAAAAGAATAACGAAACGGCTTTTATTACACAATATGTGCGCAATATGTGCTTGATATATGACGCGTTATTAATGTGTACAAAATGTACAAAAAAAAAATTTTTTATGTGCAAAATGTGCACATTTTCGTGATATCATTTGTACGCAAAAAATTTTTGATATGCTTATGTGCATATTGTGCACGTGAATTTTACACACTGTGTTGTATATCCTTCCTTTTAATAAATTATATAGTTAACCTTTAAATATATAATATATTTTGTTTCACACCTAAGATTTTGTCCAAAAACTTTTGTTTTTATTACATAATTATCAGGTATATTATATATTGAGGTGAATTAGACTTTAATTTTTGAGTTAATTTTGATTTTGATAAAGTATGATAGGTTTTTAAAGAAATAATTTTATAAAATAAACTAAACAATCTTCTATTTGCTTGATAGTAAGCTTCAATTTTTGAACTATTTGAATAATTATATACAAAAGTGCAACTAGAAAAGATATCTATTAATAAATAAAATTTTTTAGTTTTTTATTATATAGAGGATCACCAAAAGTCTTTGAATACCACTTTTTAGATGTGATTCAATATTGAAAATTTCATGTGACTTAGCAATTCTACGGTCATATGATGTTTTGAATCTTATTTACATGAATCGTATTTTAAAAATGCATTTCAAAATGGTGATGGTAGTTTTTAGAAGGATAATTCTCAGCCTCACAATATGAAGCAAACGAAGAATTTTCATGCAGAAAATAATATGCACGTTCTTTCATGATTTACTCAAGTCTAGACTTCAGCCTGATTGAAAATCTGTAAGCTGATGTCAAGGAAAGCATCTGTGAAAGGAAAAAAATGTCTTCTAATATTGCTGAACTAGAGTGATATATTAAGAAGTCATAGAGAGAAATTTCAATATATATTATTGAAAATTTGGTCAATAGTATATCACAATGAATTTAGGCTATTATTGAAGCAAATAAAGACTTGATCAAGTACTGATTAATTAGTACAAAATTTATTTTATATATCATTTTTAATAAATATTTAATAAATTATTTAATTAAATTTTAAAATTTTAAATGATTTATTGAGCCAAAAAGTGTTTGAAAACTTTTAGCAGCCTTCTGTAATATAAAATTACATTAAAAAGAAAAAATATTACTTTCACTTTATTCTATTATAATATGAACTGTTTTTATCATTTTTAAATTTAATACTAAATACTTTTGTTTATTATGTGTTTATAATCCTTTGTCACTTTTATCACACTAATTACTCAAAAACATATTACTTTTATAAAAAACCAATTTCAAACCAATTTTGACCAATTTTATAATTATGAGAATTTGTAAGAAACCAGTTTTAAAAGTTTTAATTATTGGCTACTATTAGATTTTATCACTATTTTTATTAGCATGTGATTGCATGTTAATCAAAACTTATAATTTATCACATAAAAATTAATTAGTAATATGAGACAAATTGGCCTATATGACAAAGTTATATTAAAAAATTTTATTAGGCTATTTTATATGGTTTGTATCTAAGTTATATATCATTTGTTTTCTAAAAGCTTGGTCAGTTTCTATATTAGGTTTTTTTGACTAAATATTTGATGGATTTTTAAAAGTAGAATTTTTTATATTTTATTTACATTACACAAACTATTGTTACTGATTCTAGAAATGCATTATTAATTTCTAAAAAAAATTTTTGTATTGAATTATTCATATAAATATCAAATAAAACAAGTTTTATATTTAAATAATTTGATTTTAATAATTATATCTCTGGATATAATATATTTTTTTAAAAAATTTATTGGTGTTTTATATTTAGGATATAATATATTTTTTGCCTTTAAAAATACAGGAAGGGTAAAATATTCAGGAAGGTATTTACAGTATCCATATATAAATAAAATATTTGTCATGTGAATCTAAAATGTTCAAATCATTAACACGTGATTTTTTTATTATCACATATATTTAAATTCAAATACTTCTTTTTACTTTACACTTTTTTTTAAAAAAATAAAATTCTTTGCTCTATAACAACCCAAATATAATGATAATGGCAGAAATATATTATATTTTAATTTATTTATTATTTATGTTTAAAAATTTGTAGAAAACTAAATATATTTGTAAACAAAGTGAAACTTTCTAACAAGGTGAGTTTTTAACTCCTTAGCATTTGTTTTATTATAAGGTGAACAAAAAGTAATATGCGAGATATGCAACCTCCAAGCTGTGTATAATAATGCTGAATTTTCTAAATAGAATAGTACAACTTCATATTATCATATTTGCAAAAATTGAGAAACACACACATCTTGCGTAAACTCCTCTCCCTTAGAGAATACTAAATTAGTAAAATCTTTATTGTTTTACTTTCAGATTTAACACGAATAGTTTCTTTCATGATGATTACTCCTTTTTAATCTATTGCAATCTAACTGAAATTTATAATCAATAACTAATTAATTATGAATCAAAGTGATTTTATTTGAAAAAAATAAAAAATTTATATTTAATATAATAACATTCAAATTTTAATTTAAATTAAAAAAGGATAAATCTAATTGTAACAACCTGTTACATGTCTTATTTGTAACACCTAAAATTTTATCCAATCAAAATTTAAGATCAGTGTAACGTCAATAATTTAGCAAATCAAAACAAAAAAAATTTCAAAAAACTGTTTGTAAATGAAAATTTTGTCTATGAAATGAAACTGTCTTTAATACTTTAAGTAAAAGTTTTTTTAAATTAAATTTTGCATTTAAAAATCATGTTTATAAAATATTTAATAAAATAATTTATTATTAAGAAAAATAAAAAGGGTGTTACAAATAAGACATGTAACAGGTTGTTACAAAAATATTTTTCCATTAAAAAATACAAATTATTCATCATCTACAGAATAGTATACAATTCCGCAATAATGAAAATATTCAGCATTCAGAAAATTTAGTTTAAATTAATGTAAATTGAATAACAAAGCCGATAAAATCTGTTTTTCTGGACTGAGGTTTTTTTCTAAAGTCTTATTGATCTATCTGTACATAAATGTCTTTTATAATCTTTGAAGCGTATTCTTTATTAGCATTAGATTTGAACATGAAATAGTCATCAAGTGCCACAAATCTGAAAGTATCTGAACTTGTCGAAATCTTGACCAAGAGCAAGGGATTCAAAGTTCCCAGCGGAGATTACCTCAAATTTAGGATCAGGTATTGATGATGTTTCATCCATTATAAATTGAATTGATTCCTTTAATATCGGAAGAAATTTACACAAATAAAATAAATCAGATAAAAAGGTCAATTATAATTAAAATCATATGACTTTTTTTTTTATCTATTTCACGTAAATAATCAAGAATACTAGCAAAAAATGAAATCTGTCACATGAAATCAAAGCGTTATATATTTAACTCAATTAGGGTAAAATACCTTAATTTTTTTTTATATTACCTTTCCATTACACAATTTTGCAACGATGCGTTATATTAATTAGGGATAGAATATAATGAACTTGTTTTGTTTGAATTGTTGATTTTGGAATAATCTGAACGAAGCTACAATCCTAAATCCAGTATAAATACGATTATTATTTGTTAACAAATAAGTAAAGTAATGCAACGTAAATAAATAATACCTAATTGAATTCTACTAAATTTTACCGGTTAGTAAACGTCAATAATCCGCAGATTTCCAGAGCCGTTTGCTTTTGTCAAAGCAAAACGATAACTTGGTTAACAAGGAGCTTTTATAAGTAATAAGCCACTCGGAGAAATGATGGGTTATGATTTTGTTTGCGGATTATATAAAACCATACTCCGTTAGTATTAAAGTGAGCTGATTTACACAGCCTTGGAAAGCAATCCTAGGTTTAGCGATTACCGAAATATGGATAGAATTCAAATTGATTAAATGAATTCCAATCTGATTTTAGCATTAATGATTTCATAAAACACAAAACTATTCGCAGAACCTTTTTTTGCCAATGTTGAAATTGAAAACTGCAGAAGGTTCTAAGCTACGTTGAATTTTCTAATCAAGCCACATTTACCACGAAAAGTAAATTAAAATCAAGTTATACATAATTGAATTAAGGACCATATTTAGGAAATTCAAGGAATTATGAAACCAAATCAAACATATATACATCTTCTATACATATAACCTTACTAAAGGATTTCCTCGGAAAATGTTTACAACATTAAAAAAAAAAAAAATTTAAATTAAATTTGGCTGTGTTCTTAAAGGTGTTTTTTAATTAACTCATAATTTCGAAGCCACTGCGGCTTACGTTTGATTGCCACTAATTATTATGACTTGTAACGTAAATCGATACCAAATCGGAATTTCATTATAAAAATCGGAGTTTTGGAACAATTTGACAATTTTAACTAGTTAGAGTTCGTAGTAAATTGTTCTGTTCATGAATTAATTGGATTCCCTCTCTTTTTATTTTATTATTAATCTCTTCTTTTTTTATGGATTGGTTAATTGAAATTACTTGTTCCATATTTATAATCGTTTAAGGCAGTGTCTATGATTATATAATTAAATACTGTTACTATTATAGAAAACAAAAGTAAAACTGGTTTTGTATGTTTATTTTTACGACTATTATAGAAAACAAAAACTAAAACTGGTTTTATATGTTTATTTTTACGAAAACGGAAATCACCGTATATTCAAAACGAAAAATCATAGGCTTAATTTAATTTAATTTAATCAATTCATAAGCATCATAAGCATCATATCATAATATCTTAAAAAAAAAAAAAAAAAAAGGCTTTTTAAATTCCTCCAGAGAACTATCGATTGCGCCACGACTTAAACCGCTGAATGATTCACAAATATCAACATATTAGACAACCCCCTCCGTCTTTTGAGTCTTTTTTTTTATTATTATTAAATATGAAAATCAAAGCAAACATATCAAGTAACATTTTCAAAAAAATCATATATATATTTTTAATTTCGCTAATATTATTAAGCAATTACAGATGTAATTCTGTAACATTCAAAAGGGAAGAAAATAGTGGTGGAGGATCTCGATGGGTATTTTGGACTTATGAGAATGGAGAACGACAATGTGCTTACCTTTGTCTTCTTGGCGTAATCATTTTAATCATAGTATTAATAATAATTTGTATTTTCTGTATTTGGTATTGGTTTTATCGTTCTAAAACGAGTACCATATATGAAAGAGGTTTTAAGGCTCCACTATTTATGTCGAAAATACCTCAAATACAGATTGATTACGTTGAAGGAGACTCGAATATAACACGAATCGATGAACAATATGAAGAAGCAGAAAAATTTATACGAGAATTTCCACCACAAGAAGAGTTACCTCCTCTTGAACATCTTGACTTTATACGAAGCGTTGGAGGTGCAAAAGCATGGCAGTGGATCGCTGAAGAACGGATGATTGCAGATCAAATAATTGCGATCATTGGCGAAGGCAAAATCATAAAATTTTTGAAAAATATGAACTTTAGTATACATACTACTTATCCATGTTTTGTGCCTGTCATTGGAAGTGAGGGCATAAACACACAAGAAGATGGTCAAGTTAGTTTTTCTGAGGAAATGTTTGAACAACCTCAAAGTATGCCGCATATAATGGGACAAATTCTGCATTACTATGAAATTACTATATTGGAGAATAGAAATCCTTCTGATACTAATATTTCTATTGGTTTGGCTACCCAACCTTATCCCTCTTTTAGATTACCTGGTTCGAATATATATTCTGTTGGTTATCACTCTATTAATGGTTGCAAATATAACAATAATAATACTGCAATGAGTTATGGTCCTGATTGGACGGAAGTTGGAGATACAGTTGGTTGCGGTTATAATCCAACCGTTGGTCATGTTTTTTTTACCAAGAATGGTGAATTCTTGGGAAATGCTTTTACTGACATAAGACATATTTGGTTTCCTACTATTGGCGCGAGTGGTCCATGTGTCATCAAGACTAATTTTGGTGATGATCCCGAAAGAGCGTTTTTATATAAAGAAGCTAGAGGATATGGTCCCGGTGGGCCCATTTTATTAAGCAAGCAAAGGGGTTTATCTAAACATCGAACTTAGGTTTCTTCAAGTATTGATTTTCGTATTATATCACTTTCAAATCGTTTTGTAAATATATGAAGATATAAAATGAAAAATTCAAGCTATATATAATAAGAATTTGTAAATTATTATAATAAATGATTTTATTATTAAATAAAGATATACACAGATTAAGTTTATATAAGGATAATTTTAAATAAGAAATTAGATATTAATAATCATCTATGTTAAAATTATAAAGTTATTTGTAATATATATAATATACAGTATATTATAATAAATAATTTTTTTCTCTTTTTTTCTCTTTTTTTCTTTTTTTCTTTTTTTTTTCATTTTACCTATTTATAAATCTTAATAAAATATGTAATAATTAACTTAAATTATATTAAAATATAAAAAATAAAGATTATAATATACAGCAAAATATGATTATTTATTTTTTTTCTTTTTTTCTTTCAATTCGGTTTACTTCTTTGCATTCATGATTATAGACAAATTGATAATAAAACTTTCTACTTCTTTCTTTTTATTCAACGATGAACTTTGAAATTTCGTAATTAGGATTTATATTTTTTCTTTGGCATAATCTCATCCATAGAATCAAAACTTTTGGAAGAAGGTGCCACCTTATTATATGGTGAATAGTTATCACCGTAAATTGGAGCAGGAAACGAAGTTGAGGGTATTGGAATTCCGGTTGAAGAAGCATAAGCTGAGGAAGGTCTGCTATGATTATAATTTTCACCAAATTCCATTTTATTATTTTCTAGTTCGGCTTTAGAATTTCTTCTTATTCTATGACAACGCCAAATTCCACATCCAATAATCGATATGATAGATAATGTTACCAGCAAAGCTGTAATAATGCAAAAATTGCCGCAAGTACGACTGCCATTTGTGCCATAGTAAAAAAACACCCATCTAGAATTACCAGACGAGTATGAGGAGCTCCCGCCGCCACCTTTGTATGGACTTGACTTTCCATTGGATTTACTGGTAGTTCCTCCTCCGCCTCCGCTTCCGCCTCCACCCTTGCCGCCCCCCTTACAAAGAACAAAGTCATTTGTAAATAATAGAAACAGGAAAATTAATATTATGAAATACGTTCGAACTTTACTTATTAAGATTACTATTTTCATATTCATCTAAAATAAAGAAAAGTTTGCTTATATATGTGGGAAAAAGTTTTTTTTTTTTGTTTGATACTGATTTTTTGAGTTAAATTTCAAATAATGATTATTACTATAAAAGTTATTACTTATTTTGTCAAATAAAAAAAAAAATGGTTTTTTTTTTTTTTTCAAGGTAATAAATAAAAATCAACTATATATTTGATTTTTACTTTAAAGTTTGTATTATATTATTGATCATAAGACACGTACGTAACAACCATTGATAGTATGGCGTTATAATATGATCCGATTAATTCTAGAATATCTACGTTTTTAGATTAGTAATTCTATTGACTTCCTTTGCCGTAACCAAATGAACAATTGTGTATTAGAATTTTTTAAAAATTCACATGCAAACAAATCAAACAAAGAAAGTCTATATAAATGCCCAATCTCTTTTTTTCCGATCAAAAATAAAAATATAGATATATTATGAATCACCAGCTCTTCTATAAGGATATGTATTAAAAGTTCCCAAGTTGTCATCACAATACGGAAATACATATTGGACTGTGAAAAACTTATACCGAAAACAATTAGCATGATGTATTGTTCGGAATTATATTTTAATAATATTGTAATAATAAACGTTTCATAATGTATTCTCTATAAATAAATGAGTACTATAGATTATTAATTCCGAAACAGTATTTGTCAAAATATTCTTTATTACTCTTCCGCGCGCCCAATATAAATATATGTATTAGTTATTTACCGCGAAATCATCGGGCGTCACGGCGCTGATGATGTCGGTAAATAACTATTGTATTTCCCGATTACTAACGCCCGTGATAAGAAAAATCACATGAATTATGTAAGTACCATGTTATTGTGACATAAAAGTACTGTTTTTTTACATCATAAATAATTTTTTTTTTTACAATTTTTTTTTCAAAGACCGTAAAATTTAATATGTTTACAACCTAAAACATCCAAAAATACTGACATTGAAAAGGAAATTTTATTCCTGTGCAACAAATTCAAGATTAAAATAAGAAACCGTTACAAATTGAATCACAAGATTTACCAATTAATATGCCCGATGTTTAATAATTATCACTTTCAAATGTTAACTTTTACTTTAAATAATTTTTATTTATGCTTGTAATATGTAATATTTTAAAAAATGCTTTTTTCTATATCAAGCTTATTAAATAAAATATATTAAATATTTTGCGATATGATTTTCGTTTGATATATCACGGTAATTGCGTCATATTGATATTTTCACGGAAAATTCAACTCCGATAGTGAATCCGGTCAAAGGCTTTTGATCGGTCGAAGGACTTTGACCGACCGACCGGTGACCGTCAGATTTTAACTGACCGGTTGACCGACCGGTTAATAGAAAGTTTAATTTAGCCAAATATCATAATTTTTGATTCTTTGCTGTAACAATTCTAGTTTTAAAACTACCTTATCATTTTATTTAGTGGCGCAGCATTATCAACAGAGTTTAATATTTTTTTTCAAAATTTCAAAATTACAATTTATAAATAAAATGTTTGATTTTTGTTAATTAATATAAAGTATTTTTTTTTCTATTTAAATCATGGTTGTTCAGCAAGTCAAAGTCTCAAGTCAGTTGGACAAAATCGATCAGAATCAGTCAACCAGTCGCCCGACTGTTGACTGACCACAACTGACCGTTACCATTCCTAGTTAAGACACTGAAAAGTAGATTAATAAAGGTAGATGAGATGATACAGAAAGAGCCATTTATATTCACAAAAATGAAATAGACAATTATAGATGCCTGCCGAAACCTCCTCAAAATAATTTCGTCATACCCTTTTCTATGTTTTTAATATAGTTTCGACAGTTTCGGCTTTCGTCGTATCGAATGGGTTTCGTCGTATCCCTTATTATGATTTTAATATAGTTTCGTCTAAGTTTCGACTGTTATTAAGGGGTTTCGTCCCTCATCTATATAGACAATATGAAATTATTGATCTATTAATATATTAGAAATCACCCTCAGAGAAAGGATAAATTAAGAAAAGATTTAAATATTCACTATTTATGAGATTAGAAAATATTATTTCACAATCTTTCATAAGATAAAACTTCTATTAATATTAATATTTTGTATATACGAATCTTCTATGATGAAAACCTATAGATATATAAAATTAAAAATCAAAGGTTCATTCAAAATGTCCTTTTATTCATTACCTTTGTAAAGAGATAACATTTGACATCCCTTACAATATACTATAGAAAGGGAGGAAGGAAAAAATCAAAAAATGAATTAATGCTGCTGAATTTGGATGCAATCAATCTAAAAAAAAATACATATGGGAAGTTTGCTATTAAATCACATTGCGAATCATATGATTTACTATGTTCATAATTAGTATTAACTATTGAATGTAATTCTGACTGAAATTTTCATAACTTCACATGTAAATCGTTTTTGATAATTACAGTTAGTCCTTTTGACAATCATTTACCAGGCTGTCAGATTATCAAGGTACCAGTATGACAAATGGTCAAAATGTCAGGCTAGCTTAATTAATATTTTTATATATATCGAGCTAAAAATTCTAAAACAGTTCAATATTCCATGCTCGCCTTTAATATATTTCTTTGAAAACTATTCCCTTCGCAATCCTCCTTTTTACACCTTCACGATAATTTCAATTTTCACCATTTTAACTTTATAATTTCACAATTATAACATTGTTTATTATTTTATTTCAATTTCTAATTTTTATTAGTAGTTTATTATTCAATGTTTATGTAATTATTTCGTATTTGCATAGTCTTAATTAATTAGAATTTAGTATTTAGCATTTAGCATTTATAGAGTTTAAAATATTGATCAAGCAAAAGTGTAGAGCGCTAATGTTGAGACAACACTGATTAATTTAATATTATTAAATAAGAATTTTATTATTTTTTGCATATGTGATATGACGCTAGTCCCTTATATTCACGTGACTTATATGAAATACACATGATATTTATATATATGCAACATTTGTATATGTGATACACGTGATGTTTATATATGTAATTCACGTAACGCTATTTATTTAACTTTTTTTCACTTTATTCGCTATGCTTTTGACCTTAATGTACATTAACCTAAAATCCTTACATTCATTTTTTTTATTTTAGCATTGTTAATTGTAAGTTATTTAGTACCATCATCTTTTTATTATTGTAATTTCATTTTTACAGCTATTAACTGTATCTGTTCGCTACCACAAATTTATGAATTTATGCCTTTCTTTACTTTTAATGTGTTACTAGTTATTAGTTTACACTTTAATTATTGTTGACTTTGCTATCTCATTTATATTTTAATATTGAATTTTTCTCTACCTTCCATTTGTGTTGCTGATTGTTAATTTGTTATTAATTGTCTATTACCTTCAATTTATGTTTGTTAGTTATTGATTATTGGTTATTACTTTCAATTTGTATATATTACTAGCTTCCTTTATTATTATAGGTTGTTCACTACTTCCAATTTGTATTTGTTATTAGTTATTAGTTTTCACCTTTATTATCATTTATTATACACTAACTCTAGTTTGTGTTTGTTATTAGTTAATAAAATAGACAGTGAATCCTCTTTAATCTCTGTTATTAAGCTAGGTAAGGTTAAGCAAATCATGTATATAATATTTTCATAATGTCTAATATAATCATAAGTGTTATCCTTTTATTTTCATATAATTAGAATATATACAATTTCAAGGGAATATAATACCAAATAAATCCCAATCATCAACCTTATATTCTGAAAAGATTTTTAACATGAGAAGCATGTGAAAACTTCTTTAATAAATGGGTTAAAGGTAAGGATTTCAAATTATAAAAACCTGTTTATACTGAGATGATTGTGTTATATGTCAAAGAAGTTTTATATATGATCATAGACATTTTTACGAATCAAATTTGACAAGAAATACAATCACGAAAAAAACACAATGTCCTTTTATAGTTAACGTATCATGTCAAAGATCAATAACCTTAAAAATAATATAATCATCAACAAAATTGTTGATAATCATAACCATTCTCCAAATAGAGCCAATCAAATTTGAAAATTGCAAAAGATTTACTGATGAAATGCTAGTTAAAATAAAGTTTATGACAGAAAACTGTAAGTTCAAAGCTACAGTACAAAGAAAGTTCTTGGAAAATAAATACCTAACACAGCCAATTTATTTAAAAGATCTATACATGATAATACAAAACTTCTGTCCTACTAACAAATCCTTGTCTAATGATGCTGCACAGGTATATTCGTATTTATTATAATTTATTATAGACATATACATCTAGGGTATATAATAAGATTTAATGTTTGGATTTATAGGTTTTTAACTGGCTTGATCAGCAGAAAAATGATAATACACGTTAGGTTGTTGTGTGTAAATAGGATAGAGATAATACTTTAACTCACCTACTTTGGATAATGTTGAATCAGGTTGAACATTGGATATAATACTCCAATTGCGTTTTAAATAATATCACCCATAAAACAAATTGTTATGAAATGACATTATCATTATTCGTTAGATTTGATAATAATCAGTAAAATATATTATTAGCACAGGCACTTTTACTTGAAGAAAGTATTGATTCATATATTTGAATGTTTCAGAAAATTGTTAAAGCAACTAATGTTTATCCAGCTGTTATTCTTACTGATGCAGATCTGGCAGTGATACTGCAATTCGTCAAGTATTTATCACAACTTATCCAATTCACTGCACCTATCATATTACTCAGAATTTATATAAGAATTTTAGAAAGATACTAGGGAAAATATATAAAAAGTTTCTTGAGAACTTTTATCAATATTATAATAGTTTATTTTTCAGTAACGATTGATAAGCTGATTCAAGATTATCTTAATACACGAACTTATTTAGAATTTCTTTATAAATCGAAGATATATTAGACATATTATTTTACATTTTTTAACTTTACAGGAGGTATGATTGTTACATTGCATGTAAAATCTGTAAATGCAAGCTTGAAACGTTTATTATATTATTCAAATATTTTACTATGTGAACTTATAACTGAAATTAACAGATTGTTAGATATTTAAGATAAGGAAAATGAGTATAGATTTTAGCAGCTCGCGATTCTGGCTATTAGAAATTAAAATAAAGGAAATTTCCTATTTAATAATGTAAATAATTGTATCAAAAGATTTCTTACACTGACAATCTTACAAATGCAATAAAACGAGATCAATTAATCAGTTTATTATACTGCAAATATTATTACAAGAGAAGTTTCAGAAACTTCTGATCAAAATATCAAATTAAATGATAATTAGAGAGAATTTAATATTAATGATGCATAAATTACCTTTAACTAGCTGATCGATTTTGTAGGATCAGAAAATATACAAAAGATATAGGCAATTAAAGTTAGCAATACATTGAGATCAAACATCATATTTTATTATTAAAGAATTGATTTCACATATGTTCTTGCCTTTCTATTATATAATGTGATATAGTATGTAGGCATTATTTTTAATTAATGCTAAATATAAGCTCAGCAATATTTTATATCAGAATGTTATCTTTACGCTGATATTGTAATAAGGAAAATAGAGCAAAAGAACCCTTTATAGTTATAGACAAATGCTTTCAAAACCAATCTATTGAAGTTACTACTAATTGTATAGTTCCATATTTGTATCTTTTTAAATAAGAAGCAGATTTTAAAGAAGAAAATTTAATGATCCTTGAACAAAAGATAACATATAGAAATATTAGTGACATATACAAGAAAGTACTTTATAAAGCATTGCAAAACAAGGAAAAATCTCAAGAATTAATAGAAATTAAAAATGACGCTGCAACTAGTTGCAACTATATGATGCTTATTTGTTACCAGTTGCAACTAGTTGTAACTCAATTTTTATTAATGTTGCAACTAATTGCAACCCTGTGATGCTTATTTATTACCGGTTGCAACCAGTTACAGTATTATCTTTAATGGAAATGCTTCAAGATTTTGTGAAAAATGATATTGATAATTGGTTAGATTTAGAAGATATGCAGCAGAATGATCACTTGGATAAAGAGAATATTGATCTATCCATTTGCCAATTGCAAAATCTGAAAGTTCATTGTGGTAAAGGCCGTCCGGTTGGTACTAAAAGGTATAAATCAGAACATGAAGTGTCAAACGTCAAGGCAAATCAATGATTATGTAAAAAATGTAAAGGTATTGGGCATTATCAAAAGAACTGCAAGGAGGGTTAGGAGAATTAATTTCGATTCATCTTATATAAATTGCATTTATTATAATCAAATAATAAAGTCAAAGTCACATGACTGTTGATCCCGTGATATTATATTAATAAAGTCACATGATCATCTATCACGTGATATTTAGGGTCTAGCGTTATATCGCCATGGCGATATTTTATATAACCCATTAAATAATATTTGTTACAATTACTTCATTTTTATTCAATAATTATTCAATAATACCTTCTGCTTACATTACAAAATTGTTTATAAATACATAAACGAAAGAACTGAATACAACACTAGTAAAAACTCCCATATGTTAACTAATATTGAGCCTTTGAACTAAGGCTGTGGACAAACCCTAAAGTTCGACGGTTCCGTCAAATCGAAATAGGGTTTAGACTTCTATATTTTGACTTTTCATTATCGCTTTTTGTAAAAAAATTTAATTTTATTAAAAACAATTTTGGTCAAACAAAATTATTGACGATTTACCGTATTACAAATTACGAGTGATCCGAATCACAAAAAATTCCGAAGGTTACAAATTTATTAAATTTATTGATTGTAAAAAATCATTTAAAAAAAAAAACGTAACGATGCGAAATTTCGTGATAATATGAATTCTGCTTAAAAAATTCGTTGATAAGAATTTTATTAGAAGAAAAATATTCAAATGACGTTATATATTTTTCACATGGAATCAGACGTTAATTCGGATGGATCCGAATCAATTGGTTAAATTACATTCAGATCATCCGAATTAAAAGTCTGATAAAATGTCAATTCGAATTTCGGTGAATCTATATAATATTAATTAAAGAAATGTGAATTCAACAATCTCGGAAAATAATTATTATATCGGAAATATGAAACAGGAACCAAGTTTACATACAGGCGTTCACAATAAGACGGACTTTATATCCTTATCAAAACAAGTTCAAGATTACCAGATACATATGCCGCAAATATGGACAATTATGTCAATAATTGTAAAATTTTTTACATTCAAGTATCTAATAATAAAAGAAAAACACAATTCGTTAGCACTAAAATTATAAACAATTTTAACAGAAAAAAATATTTCTATAAATTTTTTATATAATTAAAAATCATAATATATATATTTAATTTTTTTTTCACCTATTATAATTAAAACAGCTCTTGCCATTTTAAGTCTAGGAATACTAGCTATTGTTTTGAAAATTATAATTGATTAGCTATAAACGATATATTATAAAAAAAATAAAAATAAAAAAAATGCAAAGCTTGAAGATCGTGTGTTACTTTGTGACGCGACTTTACATCCTAAAATGCACGCCTAGCTCAGTCCAAAACCTTTGTAATGCACGGTCCCAAAAGCATTTATAGAAAATCGACTGTAACTAGAAACTGTGTCTGCTGCCATCGATTTATATTTATAAATTTTATACCTGTAATAGTTTATGTACCATTTAGAATAATTCAGCATCGGATACTGTTTGATTAGAAGAAGTTTCCTTTTTTATGAAATTTTTTTGGAATGACAATAGCCAAGAGAATTAAAAATCAATATTTGAAATTTATTTACCTACCTTCGAGTTTTTCATTTGATTTTTAGAACATATTTATAATGTTACAATCATTATTACCTTTTATCTTGTACATTTGTTAAAATGAAATTATCCATAAATGTATATGCGAATTGACCAATTTTTTTTTTTTTATTTATTACCTTCTTTTAAATTCTTCAAAGTTCTCGCCATAATGGTTCTCGCTTGATAGTATTAATTTAAATAAGCTCAAGCTCATTCACCAATTGATTCTTGGCTCGACTCTTTAGGTGTAATTTAAGAACGGCATTTTTTATTACGTGCGCAAACGTTCAACCAGCTTAATGACAAAATAGGCCTGCATTATCGTGAAACAATGAAATGACTAACTATAAAACGGTTTATTAAACTATTGTTGAACAATATTTGCTCTTGAATGCGGTGTTAGTGAAACAGTAAATAATGACATTAGGTTAAAAATGAATCATAATGAGTGACTTAATGTTTTTCTTTTCTTTTCTTTCATTTATAACGATATGTTATATTCCGCGAACGTTTTTTTAAAGTCGAACAAAAAAGTTTTTCACGTATGTTAAATAATTTATACCAACTGTTAAAAGATAATTGTTACTTTATTTTAATGAAAGAAATTATTTTATAAACCATCCTAACTAATTTTATTTTTCATTACTTCATTTATTTTATTAGCTTAAGAAGCATATTAATAATGATAAAATTTTCTTGAAAAAGCGTCGAAATTTCATTACCTGGCTCATCAATTATCTATTGAACGTTCTAAAACCCGGAATCAATAGCAGTCATGGAAATTTCTCTAATCAAGATAAAGAGTTCATATGTGAATGTGTTGAAGAGTATTTAAAAACAATTGGAAAAATCAAATGGAAACAATTACAAAAAAGAATGCAAAAAGATCGGTGTGTACCTTGTTCGCAAATTGATCTGAAAAATGGTTGGAACTTAAAGTATTTACGGGAAGGTGGAGCCGAAGCGCCAGATGAAGAAGTTATTTGAGCGAAGATTAATTTAATGAATATGGATGAATCATTTCACCACCAAACAACACGCCAAGGAACCCAAACGAGCATGGGGCATTCATTCCCTTTGAAATTATTTTTCAAATTATTTTTCTAGAATGTACTTTTATCCTTTTTTATACAGGAAAAAAAATTTTTTATTTAATGGTAATCAATTTCCAAAACTAGGAAAGAAATTTTTTTTTTTTTTTTGTAATTTTACAATGCGAGAAAATAGTATTCTTTAAAAAAAAAAAAAAAAAGAAGACGCGATTAAATTTTCCTTAATAAAAAACATTTAGCTAAAAATATAAATCATAACAACCGGTCGCGCGACGAAGGCATCATTATGAGCTTTATTCGATCGTCACACTTTTACCGAACTTGTCGGTACTTTTTTTAGGTGCTTGATTAAAATATGTTTTCCATTTTCTTAAACCTTCATGAATGTCAACAGCATTTAATCTCTAAGGAATTCTAAGGAATTAACAAATCAATAATTTACCTTCGAGTTAGTTTATTTTGTATAATTGCTATGTAATTATCCAAATTTTTTTTTTTTTAAAGTTTCCCTCAGTTGACGGGTTATCAACAGAGATTACAAAGTGGCAAAATCCACCAATCAAATTATCCGACCGGAGTTACTGCAATTGGGCTTAAATTCACAAATCAAATGTTCGGCGGTTGTGAAGATTGTGAAGTTACTATAAATAATTGTTTGAATGCGAACAATAATAAGTTCATTCGGAGATTTAATTCCACTTGGAATCTTTCTTTTCTTTCCTTTTCATTTATACAAAGAATTGATACTTTATTTTAATGAAAGAATCATTTAATAAACCATCTAATCTAATTTTTTTTTTTGTAGCATAACGATTTTCCTTTGAAGAAAAACACACCCAATGGTGATTTCTTAACGAAACGACTCCAGTGGCGCTTTCTCGTGAAGAAAATCAGCCAAGTAGCCGTATTTCTTTAAAAGGAAATGCTTCTGACGTTTTTTCTTCAAATAAAACGCTCCGGAAGCGTTTACTTTAAGTAAACGCTTCACGGAGTTGATTTCTTTAAAGGAAACGTTTCTCTGATAGGAATCGTTACGGAAACGTTTCTCTCGAAGGGAATCATTTCGGAACGTTTCCCTCAAATTTTAATGAGACAAAGGACCGGCTTGCAACCCTGATTGGCTTGGTCCACCGAAACAAGTCGAGCTGAGCCAAATTAAAGGTAGCTCGATTTGATCTAATAGCCAAATCGGCTTATAAGGAGCTTTAGTAATTTGTAATTTTACCTTTAAAAAAGAATTTGCTTGACTTTTGACATAATAAAAAATGCAAATTTGTTATGATAAAAATGTGTAGAAAGTTATAATACCCGGTCCGATAATTATACCGATAACTTTCTCAATTCATTATAGCAATGAATGCATTTGATTGCTGTGAACAGTGAAGTTATCTTCTGATATCATTGTTTGAATTCGGAACATGTAGTGTAAGTGAAACAATTCATTATCACGAGTTTTATTTGAGTTTTTTGATATAAATAAGTTCATTCATCGGAAATTTAACTCCTTCCTTTCATTATATCATTTACTTGATATGTTATTCTCCGCGTCCGTTTTTTTAAAGAATTGCAAAAGTATCTTGAAGAAGGATTAAAAATGTATCTTGCAGAAGGAATCAAAATCGTAAGTTAGATAATTTTTATTAGCTGTTAAAAAAATAATTTTTTATGAAAGAAATTATTTAATAAACCATTCTATCTTTTTTTCTTTTTTCTCTTTAGATGTATCATAACGATTTCTTGATACGTATAAATCGTTCTGATAAAATCAAAACCGATTTCTTGAATTTTATAAATAGCTCTCTCAAAGACCTATCATTGAAAATCCATAAACTCGGATTCAACAGAAATCATGATATTTTCTCTAATGAAGATAAGGAATTTATTTCTGAATGGGTTGTTGAGCAACTAAGCAAAAAACCTCCAATTGAATGGAAACTTTTACAAAATGAAATGAAAATTCGTTGTGTATCTTGTTCGCAAAATGATCTGAAAAACTTTTGGCATTCAACGCAGAGACAACTTACATGTGAACCTAGAGCTGAATCGCAAGATGATTTAATCGAATATTTAGTGCAAAAATATGAAATTTAAATTTAGTTAATTTCTTTTATAAACTTCATGCCACGATCATACAGCGCATAATTTCTCTTTAATAGCGAATAAAACGACAATTTATCCAAAAAAAAAAAATGTTCCTATAAAACCATACTTTTGTACATTTTGTGTAACTTTTAGTTAATTACTGGCCAAGTCGACTCAACATACTGTATGTATTTATGTAATAGTAATTATAATTATCCGTATTTGGACTGGCGTCACACTTTTACGTCACAATATATGGTTATGCATAACGTCACCCTTCAGAGGTACTTCAATTCACATGTCGAAACTTGCAATAAAAATTTAAATCAAAAGTTCCGAGTCAATTGGAGCATAGGCCATCAATAATTACAATGTTAAAGTCTAACCTTTTAATTCATTAATTAATTTATATTATATAAACAAATAAACATTTCGATATCTAAAAAAATGTTTTAATCCAGTAATACGATATAAGAAAAAGGAAATCTTTAATTATATTTTTATGTTAACTTGCATCAGTTAATCATTTAAAACCTTTTTTTTTTTTTGTGTAGTTCTCCAAAAATATTCTAATTGTTTCATGGGTATTCTATAATATTGGTAGTTATGGTAATAAATGAACTTTTGCAATATAAAGGGGAAAAACACGAGATTATTTTACATATATAATATGTTTAGCATAAAATTCATTTCGCATCTTTCCCACCCCCGATTATTTTATTTTATTAAATGCAAAACAAAAAAAAAAAACAAAAATGAGAAAATTCGGAAAAAATGGACTGATCATCAAGATTCTGAAGATCAGTGCACCTTATATTTTAATTTTTAAAGATCAACAAGGTCATCATTGTCTTGTTTCGACTTATGCATGAATTGATTCATTGAAGATCTAACCGAAAAAGGGCATTTATTTATCTTTCTTGGCAAAAAAAAATGTTTAAAAAAATTCCCTTATTCAAAAAAAGTCACCCATTTATATGTTGTATTCCATGATTAATTAATTATACATCATGTGGGATCGATTCAACTTTTTTTAAACAAATAATGGAACAACGAAAAGATAAAAACAGAATTCATCTCATCTCTTTCTATAAAGATAACGAATCACATTCAAGCATACATACAGTACATATATACATTACTATTCTCAAAAACAATTTTTCTCTATTTACTTTTTTTTTCTTCTTCTGTAAATTTCATTACATTTTCAACATGATTTTCAATAAAACTTTCATTCTATCTGTTTTCATTCTTTTTCAAAATTTGCCGTATGCTTCGGGATTATCGTATAATGATTTGAGAAAAAATTTGATTCCCGATCTTTCCACCTTGGACGAAAATCAAATCATTGAATTAATATATTTTCCGTGTCATGAGCATTGCATTAAAGTAAATGATGTTTCAAATGTAAATGTACTTTTGAATCCAACTTTAAGGACCAATCAGATTTCACTTGAGAATAAACAGGCAGGAAACTGGCAAGTACAAAAACAATTATTTGCATTCATGATGTAAAACGCATATTAATCTCGTCAAAATCATTATAGTGGAGAACTCGTGTCAAAATATTTGGATGTCAACTTAAGTAGCGATTGTCAAAGTATTAAGATCAAATTAATGAAGCAAAATAGTAAATTGATTTAGTTTTTTCTTTCGTCATTGATTGATCCAAAAATCATTTACCGATATGACATCTGATCAGTTTTTATAGAGAAAGAGCATGATGTCATCACTCGTAATGCTTACGATGATTCATCATCACCGTCAGATACATCACCGAAAACATATTCATTCAAGGTTGATAAAAAGGTTTCAATCGAAACCTGCGAGGCATTCACCTCGATGTGTGATAAGATGATTTCGACGACATGTTCTTCAAAGAGCACAATCAAAAATAACAGTTGTTCACAATTATCATCAAATCGATTCACATCGAAATGCTTTTGCGATAATGATAAACAAGTTTCATTTTCCGAGAGGATTTCAGAAATGTTACAACCAAGTAGCATTAAAGTTACATCAGACCATTGCAATTTTAATTGTCATGAATATCAAAGGGCGTGTAATGAGAAATGTAAAGTAAACGGAAAGCCAATTATAAATTTTTGTAATTACGAATATCACGACGATACATTTAAAATAGGTTGTATTTGCAATAATGGAGTTCGAAAAACAAATAGAATCCTTGACTCCTTTAAACATAGATGTGAATTTAAATTAAACAAATAAGTGATTTGTGATTATGTAATCTTGATTATAACGATTTCAAGCCTCATGATCAAAATATTGCGTACAGCCACGGAATTCTGACACTCAAATCCGATAAATAACAATTGATTATACAACAATTGAATGTAACAATTGTATTTGATGGTCGAGAATCTTTTATGTTGCACAACAACCTTTTTTAGGTTTTTACTCATTGGGCGTAACAAAAACGACACAGAATTAAAGGAATTTGGAATTTTTTTTCTTTCCCTTTTTTTTTTCGTTATTAATATTATTTATAATTTAAACAATTGAAATTATTTACAAAAATATATCTAATGAAAATTTAGCTTTTTATACTCGTAATATTCTATACTATATAATCAAAAAAAAACTTTTTTTCCAAGAATTAACGAGTTAAAAACTCGTTTTTTTTTTTTTTTTTTTTAAAAAAAAAAAAAAAAAAAAATGATGTAATAGATAAAATATTAAAAAAGAAAAAAAAATTAACAAGTTTAAAAAACTAACTCTTTTTTTTTTTGTTGTTTAATCCTTAATATCCCATCCAGTTATGCAAGAATATATATATATATATATATAAAAAAAAAAAAAAAAAAGGAAATAAAAAAGAAACATTACACTACAAGTAAAAAAAAAGTTCATTTTGGAAGGTTAAACCTCCCCCAATAAAGCAATTTAAACCTGATTATGCTGATTATATTTTTGTTCAAGTGAATCCAATTTTTTCCACAAATCCTCTGCAATCTGTAATGATTTAGGTTTGTGTTCTTGTGAGTCATCGATAATTCCAACTGCTGCGGCCTTCGGACAGTGCGTTAGAATAAATTCGCGTATCTGACTCATCCTAATAACGGCACGAGAGTAGGGAACAGGATTTGGCCAGTCGTAAGGTCGTGATATCGGTTTATCTGGGATTAAAAATTTTGATGTTTCAAATAAACGATGAATTTCGACGTTTACGTTACTAGGCCTAAGAGGTGATTCATGTTTTTGTAATTTACACTTTTTTTTCTTCGGCGTTTCTATACGCATCAAGAAAAAGAATAAGTATTTTTTTTTTTTTTCTTTTTTAGAATAAATATTGGGGGGGGAAGAGAGAGTGATATATATTTTGTCTCTAATAAATGATTTTTTTGTTCTCACCTTCAACACCATGATCATTATTATTGTTGGAATTGTGATGAATGTGATTTAAGTTGTGATTATGTTTATTGTTTTTGCCCATTTCACATTTCATGATTTCCATTTCCATAGGTGTGGACGTGGATGGAGATAGTGGGAATTGTGTAGGTGTGGGGTGTGAAGACCCGGTTTTGAACTTTTTGGTAGGTGGGCCACTTGCACCTGATGAAGAGGAGGTTGACGAAGAAGGGGAAAGTCTACTATTTGGTTCACAATCTTCTTCGCTATTAAAAGAAATAAACGAAGGGAAAGAGAAAAACACGGGAGAAGATAAATATAAAAAGATTCACGTTAATACTTATCTATACTGAAGCCATTTTTAAATTTTTCCAAACAAGAAAGAACACACCTAGAGTAACAAAATTTTTAAAAAAAAAAAAAAAAAGATATATAGATACATAATAGTTAAAAGGAAAAAAGATTATTTTTAATTTATTACCTCGGGCGAAATTCTTGGACAATTGGATCTGGAACACCAGTACACAATTGACAATAGTAGTCACCGTAGAACTCACCGTTATCATTGAGTTGAATTCTTACACATGCCGTATGGTACCATAAGGTACACTTGTCGCATCGTATCCAACGACCATCAAAACCTAAAAAGAATACGTGCAATATCAACGAAAAGTGAGTTCAAAAGATCACTGTTGTTAAAATTGAGCAAATGAATAAGTTTGAAATTCCTTCAACTCAAATTGTCAAGATTTTTCAAAATTTGAAACACGTTCAAGTAAACCAGGGTATATAAAGAGCAAGAGGAACGAACAGGAAGAGAACTTACTTTCTTCTTTCTTACACTTTGCGCAAAGGTTATTTTTCTTTCGACTTGCCTGTCTACTGAAGAAGAGTTCTTGCTCGCTGTTTCTCCTTGCCGTACGACCCATTTTTTCTGTCGATATTTGGATGGATATCTAATATGGGCAACAATTGTAGGTTACCACAGTGTCACCACGGTGTAACCGTAAATGTTACCTGACACAATCCTTTTATGGTCAAGGGGTCATCTTTCGGGTTTTTTCGTCAGTCGATTTAGTCAAGTATAGTTTATCAGCTGAATATCTATAAACTTTTTTTCGTTTTTTAAAAAATGTCGATAATCTGTCTAATCTGTTACGTGATGTAAAAAATTGCGTAACCATTTTCATCTAAAAATAGTAAAACCACTACAAAAATTGCTTAGTAGTGGCTTTAATTTTTGAAGAGCGAATAGAGTCTCAAAATTCCGATCACAGAAATATTAAAAAATGAAACGCATGATAAATATAAATTTAATATAACATATAAAATCGTTGAGCACGTTCTTTGTTTAATTTACGAGTAAATAAAATAAAAAAAAAAAAAAGGGTGGGAAAGCAAATCATTGATTTGATGCGGTTTTTATACTTTTTTTTTGCGGTTTGGAAAAAATTTCTCCCACTCAAAAATTCTTTTAATAAAGGTGACGTACATCCGAAAGTACTGCGGCTCGGAATTTCACCGTTTAATGCCAGCCGATATATGAATCATGCGTTTTATAATGTTTTTATTTCTATATTCAGTAAAAGAATTAAGAGTCGATATTTTTCATTGGTAAATTCCAAAGCGCATGAATTCGAAGCGGACATGGAATTTCGAATAACAACAATCACACTTATATCTGTGTATTTATTGATCGTAACAAAGATGTGCACATGTTTATTTTTATGCTCATTATCATTTTACCAATATTGGAATTCATAAAATAGCATGTGTTGCAAATATTCTCTCTTTAAATACTGTATATTTGCAACCTTTTCTTAAAATCAATTTTTCTCAATTTTCTTAAATAAATTTTCAAAAATTTTTTTAAAATAAATCGAAATCTTTTTTTTTTTCTCTTTAAAGAATAAAAAAATTGTTTACTTAAAAAAAAAAAAAAATCAAAAAAAAATGAATAGGGAGTACTATTTGCAAAATAGTTCAATGTATAATCATAACAATTATCATCAAGTTAACAAGCCAAAAGCGAATCCAGGTGGTTTCATTACACCCAATGCGGTAAACCCAGGAGGATTTATCGATCCAAACGCCAACCCTGGTGGATTTCGCGTGCCAGAAAACTCAAATCAATATCCTCCTGTTTCCGTCCCTACATATCCCCCAATATTTGAAGAAAGAAGGAACTCTGTGCCAGTAAAAAGACATAGCGGTCAAGTAGAAAATAATAGTAGGAATGTGATTCAATCTCCCATAAATGTTGCACCTTATCCACCTTATAGAAATGATAATGGTTATCCAACTCCGCCAAATATACCTCCAACACCAATGAATCCTATGGATTTACAACGAAGATTTTACGGTACTTGTATGGCATGCGGTAAACCTAATTCCGATTTCGCCGAATGTTCTTCTTGTAATGAAAAATTATTACAAATGGAACAATTGATAAAAGCGAAAAAAGCTTTGATAGATCAACAATTATGTATGAATTGTAAATTAGCTAAACATGTGCATAATCATATGGTTGCTTGCTCCACTTGCGGATTCCCTAAATCTAATTTAAAAGAATTAAATAGGGTAGCCGTTAAGAATGATGATGAAAGCAGCGATAACAATAGCGGTGGGAATAACAATAGTAATAGTGATAATATAATTGGTATGGTTTGTGGTAATTGTAATCATCCATTGACAAATTATTTGAAATGTCCTACTTTTACTGAAATTGCTCAAAGGATGAGAAAAGAAAGGGAATGCTTACCTTACGACGATCCTAATTTCGCTAAATTGTCTAAAGTCATCAAGGTATGATCTTTTTCAAAGGAACTTTTGCACATAATATATTTATGGTAGGCTAAAGTGTTTTTTTTTTTTATTTATTTTTATTTTTTCCTTTTTTAGCTTTATTCGGAACTCGAGAAACAAAAAGATACAAATTCAAATTCGTTTTCATCGGCAAAACAACCGCGTAGATCCTTAATGGACCTACCTTAAATCCCTTAAACCCTAACAATAACAATGACGACATGGCTTATATTGTTTCTTCTTATATACATTCTCAAGCAAAAATGTTATAGATAAAAAATTATTTACTTTTATTTTTTTTATATATTTATTTGAAGGATAGTTAGGTATTAAACTTTCCTTTTAACATTACAATAGAATCAATTAATTTGTATATTTGGCATATTTCAAATAAAAAAAAAAAACACACCCACCATAACGATCTAAATTATTCTTTAAAGTTAGAAATTTCGAAATCCATATTAATCTTATAACGAACTTTTGAAATTCCCAATTCTTATAATTACTGAGAAACGGTAAACTGATACATACGTGTTGTGATTTAGTAACCCGTTTAATTATAAAATAATATTTTGAATGATTATTGAGAGCAGCTTTTCATTCTTATTAAATTAGTAACTTGGAAAGAAAAAGACAAGATTTAGTGAACATGTTAAATGAAAAAACTGGTGGAAGTAGTAGTCCTAGTTTTTTAGGACAGCAAAAATGGTATAAGAACTGAATGATTAGAAAAATTTTCGCAATTATATTTTGAATTGAGAGACGCAATCGCAATAGATTTCAACAATTCGGAAAGGTTCCTACAACACGTTGAATATGATGAAATGTTACGTCAATGCAACCTTATATTAATTCACGCTAAAGACGTATATAGAGACTCCATAAAAGAGATAATTCTGCATCTTTAGTCCGTAACGAAGCAGACCCTATAAAAAGTCTATATCGGGCTTTACAGATTGAAACGCAAATGCTAATGCAGATACAAATGGAGTTCTTTACGAATAATATGACTTTGTCACCATTTTGGTTTCTTTAATACCTATGGAAAAGCAATTCCGGAATCAGTCTGGAATTTATTTGGACAATGTCCGAAATTTACATTGTTTTGGACATTAAACTGGAACATTTTGGTGAAGTTTTCCGGATATTCATTTTTCACAAGGAAAACCAAACATACTGTATGATAAAGAACTTGTACAAGGATTATATTTAAATAAATTAATTAATATATTTGCTATATCAATTATGCTAACTATACTAATTATCAAAATGTCAGAAATGTTACATTTAAGGAGAAATTAGTTTTTGAGAAATTTATGTCTAAAAAAGAACTATAGTTTAAAAAAGGTAATATTCAACTCTTCAAAACTTGAATATAAATTAGGAAAATAGCAAGTAACTAGAAAAGGAATTTTCAATTATTAATCTACATTTACATACTATATGTTATAATATTATATTGATTTGTTTACAAAATATAATTTAATAAATAAAATAAATTTAAAAATTAATAAATTAATTAAATACTTATTAAAAAACTTAAAATTATTAATTATTTTAATTTTATAATATTAAATATAATAAAATAAATATCCTTTCAAAAAAATTTTCAATTATAATAAAATAAAAAAATAATAGCAATTTTTTGCATTAAATATATAATACAGTTAATTTTTTAAAACATGTGATTCAAATAGTAATATAAACTATTATTATATCAATTCTTTAAATCATTAGTAATTACCTGTGATATTGTGTTAAACAGAAGATTTCTTCACGTAAAAATAAAAAAGATAAAAAATAAAGAAAATTTAAGATTAAGAAAAATATGTGTAATCAATTAATTAACAAATAAAAGAATAATCAACATTTTTATATTAAGCAATTTAATTATCAAAAAATTTTATTATAAGATAAATTCTCTAACTATCATCTCACATATAAAACTACAGTCAACTCTTGATATAGAAAACTCTTGATATAACGAATTTTTTGAATAAATACAATAAAAATATTCTTGTTATAATGAATTGGCCAATCAAATCTCTTAAAATCTTCATATAGCCTTATAGCGAAGTTGAGGTCTAAGTAAAGATGATCCTCATAATTATTTTCAAATTTCAATTGAGTTGCAACTTAATTGCGCCATAAGGAAATTTAATTGCGCCATAAGTTGCAACACAATTGCGCCATTTTTTTTAATTGCAGTGATCATCTTTAGGTCTAAGATATAGAGTTTGTTATAACAAGAGTTGACTATACTTTTATTTATATAAAAATATATTCTAATAATAATAAATTAAATAAAATAATAAAAATAATATAATATAATATAAATAAATAATAAAAATGAATAAGAATAATTTAAATAAGAAAAATAAAATAAACCAATCTAAGGTATTTACTCCAAATCACTATTTTCAATAACTTTCTCAATCAAAAGGTATGGAAATAGGTATAAATAGTTTTACTGGATAGATTAAATGATAATTAGATTACCAAATTTAGAAAATAAAATTATCTATTTAATTTGATAATAAAAATGCAAATCTATTTATTATTGTATAAATTGATCTTTTTTAAATTTTGTAAATCATTTTACATATCTTCACCTCTTATTTTAATTATTACATAGATTTACCTACACTTTTTTTATATGTTAAATGACTCTGAAAATGCTAGAAAAATATCTTTTGTTGCCTGCAAAAGAAAATAGTTCAAACTCAAATAAATCTTATAATTTCTTCTAATTTTAAAAATTATAAATGTATAATTTCTTATATTTATACCTCAAACAATAATTTTTATTGCAATTTAGTAAATAAAGACTTTATACATATTTAACTTTATCTTAAGAATTCTTTACTATTGCTTGATATTATTTGAAAATACAAATAAACTTTTATAACTTACTTAAAGAATCTCAATCCTTCTCACAATGATACATCTTTTGACCATATTAATCAATCAACAATTTAATCATTTACCCATATTAATAATAACTTGTAATTCATAGATTTATTAAAAAAGATTATTTTATTATCTTTTTTATTATCAGTCAATACTATTACTTAAATAAATAACTCTCATTAGGTCTTTTATCTTTTTTATTTAACAATATATTCATATCAGTATATAATATTTGGTTAAAAATATATTAATTTTTATAATTATAAAAAATTCAAATAATATTAAAGACGATTTCACTGTAATTTAAATTTTTCTAATTTTTCTTACACATTATAACCATCTTCTACTAATCCTCTTTGATCAAATTTTTGATTCAGCAATAATTACGCCTTTCCTTTTAAAGATTTGATATTTGTATTTTAATTTAGTTTAGTTTTTTTTCTAATGTATAGTTTAGTTTAATAAATATAAGATTAGTATTTAATAAAATAATTTAGGATAGTTTATAGATATTTTTGTATTTTATTTTAATTTATTTATAAATTTTTAAATATTAATAAAGATTATACAAACTGTCATATTTTATAAAAATAAATCATTTAGTATATCTAAAGGGTTAGTATCCCTAGTTCAATTAATAATAACTGTACTTTATTTTAAGTTATACTATAATAGTTACAGATTTAGATCTCAGCTGAGACATAAAATTGAATGATTTTTATAAGAATTTCATTTTTACTAAATATGTAGATGTATATACTAATATATATTAAAAACTGGTTAATCAATCTATTGATTAATATTAATTATGTCTAAATACTAAATTTTGAAAAATATGTAAATACAAATAAAGCTAAAGATCAATAGAAACTTAGTTTTCACTAATAGGCAGTGATGTGCATTTTATACTTCCAATAGTATAAAATTTGATTGGAAGCTTCCAATCCAAATGAATTTATTAGAGAATTATGCTTCCAACTCTTCCAAAGGTACTTTCAAGAGTGCTTCCAATCTTCCAAGTACATATTACTACTAATAAGTATATAGTAGATATTATCTTATGTTTTTAAATTTAAGGCCTTTATACATATAAACTAGTAATTAGTAAATTATATATTCTATAAGAGGCTAAGGTAATAATTGTATTATATGCTATAGTACTTTTTAATCAAACTATTATTAAGAATAAAAATTAAGTTTAATTTTCAGATATGTTTAATGATATAGATATAACAGACACTACCTTTACAGTTCTACAGTATGTTGTAAAAAAAAAAACAGAATTTTTAATTTTTCTATAAGTATTTATTTAAATTATATACAATAAATTTAGAAATATATGTAAAATTTGATACAAATAATTTTACTTAGAGTTATTTGATCACTTATCATAAATAAAATATTTCATAATTATCAATTTTTTAATTAAGAAAATTAGTAATAAAAATATTTTAAGAAAAATTATAATTAGTTAATATAAAATTAATTTAAAAAAATTAATACTTTATATTATAATATATTTTATTTTTAATTTGAATTTTAATGTTTATAATATATTAAATTATTAATTAATAAATAAAATATTTTTGACTTTATAATAAATTTTTTTAAA